TATATATATATATATATGTTGAGTGGGATTCCCCCTTGAGATTGTTTTGTTGTGTGCTTGGTTGCTATTTAACATTTAAGCTTTTAGATTCTGTATTTTTATATTGTTTGTTTGTTGTTAGAAAGTTTTCTTTGTTTTTTTTTCTTCTTTTTGTTTTATTTTGTGTTTATATTGCACACTGCCCAGAGTCACACAGTCTAAGCTGGGTGGTCTTATAAATCTTGAAATAATTAAATTAAATTAAATTAAATTAAATTAAATTAAATTAAATTAAATTAACCTGTGCAATGCTGATGACACTACTCTGGTAGCTGAAAATGCAAATGATCTGGAAGTTGAAGTAATGAAAGACAAGGAACACAATGAAAAATGGGACTAAGATAAAGATCAGAATAATGACAACAGGTACAGCAACTAGACTTAGAATTGGCAATCAGGACAATGAAGTAGTGGATAGCTTCTGTCTTTTAGGAGCAACTACCAACAGTAAAGGAACTGGCAGTCAAGAAATATGCCGTAGACTAGCAATTTATAAGTGCCAATGAAAGCTTTGATATTCAGATGCCGTGACAGGTTGAATCAACAAAGATTTCCTTGTGACATTCTATTGATAAGAAAGTTGGGCTTTGAAGAAGCAGGATATAAAGAATAGTAACACTTTTGAACTTTTGTGTTGGGGAAGACTTCTAAGAATACTATGGATGGCCAAGAAAACAAACAAATGAATCATAGAACAAATCAATCCAGCATTCTCACTTGAAGCACAAATTAACAGGCTCAAATTATCATATTTTGGACAGATTATGTGAAGACACAAGCTCCCTTGAGAAGTCTACAAGAAAACAGGAGGAGACAACCAGCAGAAAGGTGGATGTACTTGATTACAGTGGTGATAGATGCCCCGTTGGAAGACCTGAAGGGCCAGATTGGGGACAGACCATCCTGGCCAATCTTTGTGGTTGCTAAGAGTCAACCTGACTTAATGGCAATCAATCAATCAATCAATCAATCAATCAATCAAGGCACAACTGTTACCAGAGCACTAAATCATGTTTTAAGATCTTAAACGTGAACTGAAGATAAAAGGACATACTGAATTAATTTCCCCGAAACCATACAGAAATTAAGGCTTTTCCCCCCCCATTTCCCTTGAATGATTATAAACTCTCTTGTTTTATTCCCCTGACTCAATTTCACCCTTGTAGTCTCTTTAGCAAAATAAGCTTCTATTGGCTTAGCTATCTAATCCAATCTCTCTCTGAAACCTTCCACTCCTGCACAACTTTCCACTCTTTCAATAATTTCTAAGTTAAAACAGGCAGTATTAATGTATGATCCTGTATGCTGGAGTGGGTGTGCTAAGCAAAAAATTGTTCTCTTCTATATGTATTTGTTTTTCCTTATGTTTGTGCATTTGTATCTTCAAAAAGTATATGGCTTAAATGTTTGAACTAAACTTTCCTTATTAATTGTAAGTGTTAATATCTGTTGAGGTCATGACTCCCCATGCTTTGTGAATTGGAGTGATCATTTGGGTTACATGTACACAGAAGTTAGATGCAGCAATTTCCCAAAGTTAGTGAAACACAGCACAAGGATCTGCTCTGTGTGTACTACATCTAATAATTGTAGTGGATAGAGTTCTCTGTAGTCTGAATTCTACTACCTCTAGACTAGATCCATGCTCCTCCTGGCTTATTTGAATGGCTAAGAGAGGTATGAGCAGCTGGCTCCAGGAGACAGTCAATCCCCCTCTGGGGAAAGTGTAATGCTTTAAAGGAGATGGTAGCATGTCCTCTCCTGAAGTAGATTTCTCTGAACCCAGCAGTTTTTGACAACTTTTGCCCAGCTTCCAATCTACCCTTCCTTGCAAAGATAGTTAAGAATGTGATAGCAAATTAACTGCAGAGGTTCCTAGATGAAACAGATTATCTGGATCCTACCTGGTAATGTGACAGAAACAGTATTGGTTCTCTAGTTAATGTCAGCCCTTTGAGGTGGTCGAGACCAGGAAACCAAATTTATGAATGCTAATACTACTTTTGTTATAAGATTATAGTAACAGAATCTTGTAAGTCTGAATGCACCTCTCCCTTCCCTGCCTTTACATTCAAGAAAACTAGGGAGGGTCAAGTTGAAACACTTTCTCAAATTATATTTCTGTTTTGGACTCAGATTTCTCTTATCTGACTGTTGTCTTGGTTATGGCTCTTTTTCTAATCCTCAAGGTTATTCTCACAGCCTATTACAGTTAATTACCTCTGCCACAATCTCAGTGAGGGGAGTGCAACCTTCCTGGTCCTATTAAATTTTTCTGTAGTTTTTGATACCATCAACGGCTATCCTTCTGGATTGTCTGCAGGGATTAGAAGTTAGGGGCACTATTTTATACTGGTTCTACTCCTACTTTGGGGGGCATTTGTAATCAATGGTCATAAAGGGTATTAGCCCTGCAAGGTAGTCCAGATAAGAAGCACAATCAGGAGTACTAGCTCTATTTTTGTTGTAAGGTTACAGTAACAGAATCCTGTAAGACTGAAATTATTTCTCCCCTCCTTTCTTTTTACTCTCCAGAAAACTAGAGAGGAAAACTTCTGAAACGTTTTCCACACCATCCCCCCTTCTGTGGGCTGAAACATCTTTTACATGCCAGTTGACCCATCTGCAGCTCTCCCTCCTGTCTCCCAAAATCATTCCCACATACCATTATGAGGGATAATGTAATGGGACTCTAATAGGGGGTTTCTAAGGGTTTGATGCTTTCCCTGTATTATTTAAACGGGTTCTCCTGGACTCCCAACTCCTACTAAAACTGCAGTGGAAGCTGTGGCCAGGGGAGCCTTTGACCAGCTTCAGTTATAACCCTAACTGAACCTTGACCAAGATGTCCTAGCAACAGTATATCCATGCCATGTATCTGGCTGGCCTACTGCAAAATGCTCTATATGGGATTGCCTTTGGAAATGACTAGGAGCTACAGCTGGCACAAAATACAGCAGTCGATTTCTGATGGGTTAACTCTGCCAACTGAAAACAGCACTTATATTAAAGATGCAGCACTGGGTGCTAATATGCTTCAGGCCCAATTCAAAGTGTTGGTTATCTTCTTTAAACTCCTTTTACTGCATAGCACTGCAATTTCGTTGTTCAGTTGCTAAGTTGTGTCCGACTCTTTGTGACCCCAGTAGCACTGCAATATATCAGGCCAAAATAAAATCTGCCCATCTGGTGCAGTTATTTAGAGAGGCCTGTTGTGCCCCCCTGCCGCCCCCTTGCAAGATTCATGAGATATAGGCTGGGTGATAAGTCTTCTTAGAGGTGGTCCCTATTTTATGGAACACTCTCCTCCCAGAAACACAGATGACCTCTACAAGTATTTTAAAAATAGGCCGTTCATTGTATTGATTAAGCACTGTCCCAGTGTGCATCTGGTACTTAGGTTAAGTGAATGGCACTAATTTTTTATTGCTGATTTCTATTACACATGTGGGTTGTTAATGCCTTTTGGGAGGGGCTTTTATTATACTCTGCCCAGAGTCCACTATGACTGGGACAGATAGTTTCTTGTATCCATTCCTGGAACACATATCCACGCAAACAGCAGTTATTGAGGAGACAAACTATTACCTGACATTTTCCACTACAGTTGATGAAGACAGAAGCTTTTCCTCCAAAATCTGGACTTTCTTTTTTAGCTTTGATTCCCGATCCTCAGCTGCTAAAGCTTCACGTGTGGAGGTATCTTCCCTTTCTAAAAGATGATTGCGTAACCTGTCTAGTTCTTGATTTAGACGCTGCTCCTTCTCACGTAAATACTGCACCTGTATGTAATTGAAGAACTATTCTTTTAGTTCCTTATGCTATATCATCTATTCATTATTCACTACTTTCTTGCATCATTTACCTCATTCTGCAGAGCACTAGTCTCCATTTGTTTCTGTTTGAGGGCCAACATGACTTGATCTCGCTCTTGCTGAAAAGCAACAGCCTTTTCTTGCATTGACTTGGCTTCATTTAACAGCTGGTTTAGTTCTCCTGTCTTTCCCTTTCACAAATAAAAATAACAAGAGAATTGCAGATTAAAGCTCTGGTACAGCACATCAAGACAAGTAATCTTTGTTTGAACATGTTCAAAAAAAATGTGGCCACCCACCAATTTTATTTTCTACTGTTGTTCCTGAGGCTTATGTGGATCCCCAAAGCATTTTTTAAAGTAAATTTGATCTGAGAGGCTGACACTTTGCATCATGGCAGCTTCCCATTTAAGTTAATTAATTAAAAAAACCCTTAAGAATGTAAGAATAGCCCTGAGAGGAGATGATGATGATGATGTGTTTTAGATATATTTATAGTTTTAATGTTTTTTGTAAGTCGCCCAGAGTCCCCTATTGTGGGGGAGATGGGCGGGGGAGAAATCCAATAAATAAATAAACAAATAACTCCCAGATCTGATTAAGGTCCATCTAAATTTGCCATTTTGTTTCTCCCATGGCCAACCAGAAAATAATTCAAGTCAGGTGGGCACTCACAGGCATGCTAGAATCCATGGGGCCCATTTTCCTTACTTATGTTCTAGTGGGAAAAAACCCTCCTGATATCACTGTCTGAATTCTGCATAGGAAATGGGAATCCTGTATCAGAATTTAAATAACTTCACATAATGGCATCACATTTTCTCCTATTTTATTTTATTTTATTTATTTATTTATTTTATTTATTAGATTTCTCTCCCGCCCATCTCCCCTACAATAGGGGACTCATTTATTTTTAATTAATTAAATTTAAATAAAAATTCAAACTCAACACATACCTGTTCTCTCTCTTTCAACATCTTTTCAAATGTAAGAGCTTTCTCCTTTATGGAATTATGTTCAAATTCCTTCTCCTTTAACATTATTGAAAACTGCATGTTAGTCTCTTGTAGTGCTCGAAATTCTGTTTCTTTTTCCTGGCTTTTTGCCACTATTCTGTCATTTTCTTCCTTCAATTTACAAACATCCATTTCTAAGATAAGAGTTCTCTCTTTCAGGTTAGTGATCCCTTGCTTCAGCAGCTCATTTTCACTCTCTTTATTACTAAGATTTTCACTCAGAGAAAGCAATTGATCACTTTTTGATTTTATTAACAGATCTTTTTCCTTGAGGGACATCTGTAAAATGTCACATTTCTCCTTTAACTGCTTTATTTCCAAGCCAAATTCCTGTTGACACTTTCTTTCGACCTCTGATGATGCAGCCATAGAATCAGACAGTCTCTGATTATTTTCTTGTAAAGTCTGGATAAGTGAATCCTTTTCCTGCAATGTTTTCTTCATGAACTCTAGTTCCTCATTTAGTGATTTAGACTCACTGTCAAACAACTGAGAAGAAGTATTACTGGGAACCTCTAATGGTTTTCCATCAACAGAAGTTACCAACTGTGGTGGTGGTGCCATATCAAGCTTGCCAAGAATTATATCCCGAGTATTGTTAAGGTCTCCTATGCTCTGCTGAACTTGGGCTAATTCTTGAGTAAATGTTTTCAGCTTTTTCTCATTTTGTTCATACCCCTGTATTAAACCATTGTACTCTATCTGCAATTGGGAATTGTTTTCACTATCAACTGAAATTTGTGTCTGAAGCTTTTGTAGTTCTTCTTGGAGATGTGCAGACTCATGCTGCATATTTTGAACAGTAGTCATTACTTGTTGCTTCCATTCTTCCATTTTCTTTACTTGCTGTTTCAGCTTGTCACGTTCCTGTAAAAGCTCCTCAAACTGATTACTATTAATTCCTTGTAACTCACTGCCTGAATCTATACTGGAAGACTGCAGGACAGTTAATAAAGTTTGGCATTTCTGACTTAAAGCATCAATCTCAATATCTTTCTCTCGAATGATACGGGACAAGTTCTTTATAGTTTCCCGAGACATATCGCGACTGCTACTTTCAAATTCACTGGATAGCTTTTGGTTTTCTTCCTGCAATTTTTTCACAGCTGATTCCTTAGCTGCTACAATATCCACTAACTTGTGATAATCTGTTTTTAACTGACTGTTTTCTCTAGTTTTTTCACTAAGAACTGCCAGCACTTGTTCTCTTTCCATGGCATAGGTCTGTAATTGCTGTTGAAGGAAAAGAACATCTTGCTTGTAAGATGGGGAGGAAACCCTTGCATGAAGAGCTTGTATTTCTAAGTTTTTTTCTTGAATGATCTGTGTAAGTTTGCCAACTTCATCTTTAGATAACTGATCAATCTGTCTACTTAGTGATATATTCTTTTCATTCAGAAGCTTGATTTCCATTTCTCTCTCCTTGATGCCTTTTACCAGCCTTTCAATTTCAGCCTTAGATAAGTCATGTTTCTCATTCCCATTTTCACCATTAAGTGTCTGAACTTTAGATTCCTGAAAAAGATCAGGAGGGTCTTGCTGAATTACCTCTCTCTGATTGTTTAGTTGTGTTTTAATTTGTTCTAATGTTCTCTGTAGGCTTTTGATTTCTTCATCCTTCTCCAGGCATACCTGCCTATGTGCTATATTCGTTTGTTCATGTTGAAATTTGGACTCCTCAGTCTCCTTTTTATACTCTTGTAGGGATTGCTGTAGTTGGGCCATTTTCAAATTCTGATCCTCAAATGTCTTTTTGTTCAGTTTCACCTCTTCTTCGAGATTATTTTTAAGTATAGTTAATTGTGTTATTTCTGCTTCAAGTTCTGTGATGATATCTAAGGTTTTGGGCTCAGCCAAAGGAGGAGACCTGCTCTGTTGTTCTTTTAATCGCTCAATTTCTTCTTTCAAATGACTGTTCTCTTCTTTCATAGCTGAAAGACTTTTCTCCTTTTCTTCTAAATTCTGCTTTAAACGCTCAACTCTTTTGGCATTCTCAATATAGTCTTCATGTTGCTGCTCTAACTCAAAAACTCTGATTTTAAATTTTTCAACAAAGACCTCTTTCTCTTTTATGAGCTCTGTCAGTTGTTTTTGCCCAGCTAAGCTAGTGGTTAACATCTCTTTAGTTTCCTCATGGTCAGCTTCCATCTGTTCAATATTCCTCTTGAGTTCTGCTATCTCAAAGTCTTTGTCTTGAGCAAGTTTAACTAACCGTTCATGTTCACATTGTAATGCAGTAGTATCCATATTACGTGCATTTGACAACTCCTCAATGGTCTGCTCATATTTATGAGCCTGTTCCAACAATTGTTTTTCAGATTGGCTTAATTCTCTTTCTAACTGTCCCTTTTCAAGTTTCAAAGCTTCCAGCATAGTATCTTTTTCAAAACTAATCTTACTTTTCTCACTATTAGCTATTTGCAACTGCTGTTTAAGTTCCTCACATGCTAAATGAAGTCTTCCTTTTTCTGTTTGAAGATTTAAGATAGATTTCTCCAAATCTGTATTTATCAGTTTATTTTCAGAAACGTGCTCCTTCAAGTCTGACATTTCTTTTTCTCGTTCTGTGGTTGAATTATCTTGATTATAGCTGTTAGATTTCTCACCTATCCTGGTTAATTCATTTTTGAGAAGAGAACATTCTTCTTCTCTTTCAGTTAGGTTTTTCTTTAATTCTATAATTTCCTGTTCATTTTTGGAGCTACAATATTGGGATGTTTTAAGTTGTTCTTTTAATTCTTTTATTTTATTTTCCAGGTGTTGCTTAGTCATATGCAAGTCATTAAGTGCAAATGTACATTGATTCAATGTTTCTTTCTGGCTTTGCAGCTCTTTGCTCATTTCTGTTTTCTCAGCTTCCAACATAGATATTGTTCTTTTCTCAAATTTTACGTCCAGTTTTAGCTGGGTGATAACTTTAGCAGCTTCTGCATTTTGTTTGGCTAGTTGTTCCTTCAACATAATCATATGCTAAAATAAAAAAAAAGTATTTTTTTACTTATTTATGACACACAAGTGGTAAAGCTTTGAGGGAAAAAATTATTCTCATTTCAGAATATTTTCAAAGTATTGTATTTATGTTACTGTAAAGTACTAATAGCAATCACTGTAGAAATATAGCGTTTAACAAAAGAAAGACAACTCTTCAGCAGCAGTGCAGTTTACCACTCTCTTAAGTAAGATCAACTGCCTCCTTGCTAACAGAATGACCGTCAGGGTTTGATTAATTCCCAGTTCATGGTACTGACATTTTGCTGGGTGTCCATCTTGTTCAATGAGAGCAAAGGTGGGGGGCATTATTTCAGGAAAATCTGTTGGGGCTATATGTGGGGAGCAAAGTCACAGTCAAAAATCAGTGGAGTTACTTTTTGCCTATCTCTTCCCATTTCCAATGTATCCTTTCCCCTTTTCATTTTTTTCAAAAATGCTAATTTTTTTCTTTCCAGGGAAAAAGCAGATTATACTAGACAGAGGTCTAAATTAGAGAGGGTTTTTAAAATTAAGTGGAGAGATGTGTGAAGTTGACAGCCACATATGGCCCTATGTAGGTTGTCCATTCCTGAATAAAAGCCAATAAATACATTGAGAACTGTCCTAGATTCTGTCCCAGATTTTGAAAGAATAGTTGTAGCTTTTGTGAAACTGCTGAGGATGTTTACCGAGAAACTGTTAATTCACTTCCCTCAATATGATGAGTTACGTTATGAAATACCAAGTTAAAAACAAGTTAAACTCCTCTGTAAAATACACATAACATTTTGGAAATGTAGATAACTAAAAAGCAGTGATCATAAGGTCTGACCCTGGCTTAGATCCACATTATGGTAGCGTGCCATGCTTCAGACTGAAAATTAAACACAGGTAATGAGTAGATTAATGTAGCCAACAGGCAGAAAGAAGGAGGAAGAAAGCAGCACAATCTACTGAGCAAAAAGTGTCTTATAAATCCAAAAAGGCTCTATGACAAATTTGGTGGCAAAAGTGGGCTTCAAACCTAAGCTTCTGAAGAGACTGTGTTGCCCTTCATGACAAATAAATCAGTACAGAATATATCTTTATTAGCCATATTATTCCAAACCAGTTATTAATCTTTGTAAAGAGAATTAAAGTGCATATATGTATGTCTGTGTCTGTGTCTTTTGGGAGAGGGAGGGGCTAAGAGAGAGAGAGGGAGCTTGCTGTCTGAAGAACAGTGTTATTTTTCTTTTAAAATTTAATTTTTTAAAAAAATGTTGATTAGGAAAGCCCAGAAACCCATAGTTTTGTTGCACAGATATTTAAACATAAAAGCACATAGCTTGTAAATTATGCATTATTCCTGCCCCTCCCTTATATTTCTCACCTGGGTAGCTTCTTGGTTCTGCTTGTCCAGTTCTTCCAGTTCTGCTATTAGAGTTTCTTTCTCAGCACTGCTTTCATTCCATTCATGTTGCTTCTTTTGCACGTCTTGTAACTGATTTAACTCCAAGTTCTGTCCTTTGGTTGATGCATCCATAGTACTATCACACTTGGGTTGTAAACTTCCAGTTTCTTTCTGAATTCCTTCCTTAATTTAGACACAAAAAAGACCCTAAATTTAATAGGATAAAATCGATTTGAATATAATTCTAAGTATCTAACAATCTATGCTTTTTTATACCATCAAATCTATAAAAGATATTTAAAAATATTTCTGCAAATTGTTCACAAAGAAAGGAATCTTGCTGATATCTAAGCATTTATATCAATTGGTACAATGGAAATGCTACAATATACATTTTAAGAAAGGGACACAACTATCCTTCATCTCCAATTATTGAAACACAGGAACTACAGGCTCTTTGGTACAATACAAGAGTTTCTCATATAAGCCTCAAGTTTTCTGTGGCCTCTTATTAGCTTATTATTACCATCTGGTGGTAAGATGGCAAAGGTTTCCACAGAACTTCTGTGTGTTCAACAACTGATCATCTGAATTGCCTGTCTTGTTCCAAAATGAGTTAAGGTCAAATATCTGCCTGACACTAGACTGGAAATAGAAGAGTGTACCTTTGTGGAAAATGTGAATGTATGACTTCTTAAATAGTATGTGTATATTTAAAAGGAAAAAAGAGAGGGGGAGGGGAGAGGAAAGAAAAAAAAAAGGAAGAGAACATTTATTGAGTTATGGAAGCCTAGGTAAGGCTCAGCATCACCTCACTTGGGGGAGTTGTTTATGTTTAATCATAGCTCTCACACAGAACCGGGCTACATTCTATGTTTTATTTTGCTATTTTTTTGCTATAATTGGTTGGACTATAATTGTCTTAATCCAAACAAACCCTAGCAGGGCTTGTTAACATAACTTTATATTCTTGTAGTGTTTTATAAAATCTAGTATTACTTATGTCCTTTTATAGTCATCTTAGTTATCATAGCATTTAGATTATTCATTGTAAAATTAATTGTAATTTTATAGGATTCTCTCATGTTTTAATTCCTGTACTCTGTAATTTTATGTTAGTAATTTTATCTTTACCTTATTTTATTCTATCAATATGATTTTTTATTTTTATTTCTATTTTAGAGTCATTATGTTATTAGTGTTATGCTCATCTATGACTGAAATAAAATAATAATCATAATAGTAATAGTAATAGTAATAATAATGACTTCTTGAATGTTCTATAAGTCAGGGATAAGGAATTTGTGATCCTCCAAACCTCATCACTGGCCATACTGGTTGGTATTACTGGGAACTGTATCTCAGAAACATGTGGAGAGCAACTGGTTCACAATTTTTGCTCTAATAATTTTTTATTTATATAGAGACACTCTCTAGCTTTTCTAGAAGGGTAACTCTGTTGCCAACATCTTAAAACATGACAAAAATCTGGTAATAGCACAGCTTTTGCATGCTATAGCTCACTATAGTCCATTAGATGCATGAAATGTTATATTTATTGGCAAACAATAAAATAAACATATTGTGTTTATATTTATTTATTTATTTGTCTGTCTGTCTGTCTAATTTATATGGCTACTCATCTCACACAAGGTGACTCTGGGTGGTGTACAATAAAATGAACAATTAAAGCATACTATGAAAACCACTTAAAAACAATTAAATTAATTAAACATAAATAAGTACATGTTTGCATGTGAGTATTACCTGTAGGTAGTGTGGTCAGAGAGATAACAAATGCAAGACCAAAAATACAGATAACTGAAGTCTGAATATATTTAAAAATGTAAACATATTTATTTGTTTTATTTAATTTCTATAGCTGTCCATCTCAGACAAGTGACTCTGGGCGGCAAACAATTATAAAAACAGTTAAAACCAATACAAACATAATACATACATACATACATACATACATACATACATA